AAATAAGCAAGGAATATGCTCCCCCGGCTTAGTTCTAGTGGCAAAGGTTGAGAGACCTGTGACCTAGCCCTGCACATAGGACTAAGCCTGATATTTAGGTGGAGAAATAGAGGGTGGCCCCATGTCCCTGAGTTTAGAAGGTTGCGGTTGGTCCATATGGTTATATACATACAAACATACACACACAAACATTAGTTCTCAAAATTTCATGAGTTTTTATCTGTTGCCTCCTGGATCTTCTTTCTTGATGTTGAGTCTTTTTATCGTTTTGATATCACTTGATATCAATTGCTCATCTACTTTTATGATGTTTCGCACCACCCCTGCTCCTCCTTTTGAGGATCAATGAATATCAAATGTTGGTTGAGTTTCTTTGATCTGCCCATTTTTCTAATGTACGTTGCAAGTTTTCCTACTTGGTCTGCAGTCTGCTAATAAGTGGTGAGTATAATGCATTTCCTTCTTCCCAGATATGATAGTTAAAGTTTCATAATCGGCTTCACTCTTACTTATATTGCATGGTTAGGTTCTGAATACTCTCCTCCTACTGCACTTTAGTCTCCCTGGTCAATAACAGAAAGGTGGAAAATATCAGCATGTCCATTTCCTTAATTTTGGTCATGCTTCCTAACAATAATCTACCTTTGTGTATGTTATACGCAAATCATTTGGTACATAGGATTGGATGGGATGTCCCATTGTTATTGCCATCCAGTCCTGTTAAATATTTGTGGTTAACACATTTTCAAGGCAAAGTTAGAAACTATTAGTTTCAATCATTGAATTAATTCTTTCTACCTCACAAAGTTAGGGATAAGGTCTGCATACATCCTACCCTCCCCATACCCTACTTGTAAGATTACACTAGGGATGTTGTTGTAATCATTGAATTAATAACCAAAGTCATTCCAGCACTCTTCAAATTTACCTAATTTGAAATTATACTGCACTAACAAGATTAATTGAAGAACTGGAACATTAACTTTAATAGGGTAAAAAAGGAAACAAAATGAGCAGAGGGAGAAGGGGAGATCCGGGATGTTGATCAATGAGAAGGAAAATGGTCAAAGAGGACGACTGAAACCAAAAGATGTTGTTTTGCAGCTCAGTTTCAGGTGGAGAAAGGGAAGAAGATGAATTGTAGTGCAAAAAGAAGAAGGGGAACAGTGGAATCACAATGAGAAGGGCATTGTGTTTGTGCGACGAGAAGGGTAGTGGCGTGTGGCCTGCCAAGAGGAATAAAGACGACTAGGAACTTCTAGGAGCTTTATATTTAGGCTCTGAATGGTCATTTTGTATTCTTATCAGAATGAGCCATAATCCAGGGAAATAATTCCTGCCAAACCACAGAAGAGAAGATATGGAGCGTCTTTCAAATGATAAGATACTGAGGTTGTCCAGACAATTAATCCCCAGTTATGCAATCTGCGGACATACCAAAATGTTGGATTTGGCTGGGTAAGTTTTTATTGTGACTTTGATCCGTCTACCAAACGACCTTTTAAGGAATTTCATCCATCATCAAGAATCTCCCCAAATGCCAAACCATAAAATAGTCTCATTTGCTTCTTCAATTCCTCCGTACATTGCATGCCATGTTGCCTTATTATTGGTGCATCGTTCTTTTTTTAAGGTTGAACCGATCGGTAGCCCCTAAAGGTGGCACGACTTTTCACTTGGACACCTTAAGCCTTGACTTTTGAACACTTAAACAACTTAAACTTTGGGTTATTAAACTTTTTTCTTACAATCATTTAAATGTATTGCACTCGCACGTGACGTGGCATGATGACTAATTAAAAGAGGACATGTGGCATTTGGGTCTAGAAAAATAATTAAAAAATAAATTATAAGAAAAAGTAATTATAAGAAAAAGTAGAAGAAACTATTTTTTCAGAAAAAAGGAATAATAGAAAACGTACTTCCTAAACCCCACATACCAACCCCTCCTTCCCCCGGCCATTAGAACTCCCTCACCAGTAGACATCCCCCTCTCCATCTTCTTACCTCACATTTCTCAATTGTTTCAAGGATCTTCTTCCCCATTCTATATAAGGAGGAAGAACTGAGTTTATCTGAAAAAAATTAATAAATCTGTATGAACATTCCCGGAAAAAACAGAGTGCTTGTCGGAAATTTCTTGAAACCCAGATCTGAGTTTATATCTATATTAGACCAAAACAACATTCTTGACTAGAAAAGGAGTGAAAAGATTCTTTCTTTGAGGAATGGAACAAAAATGGCTACAATCAGGGGCGGGGGTATAAGCATCATAGGACCTGTGGTGGGTGGTAACATGACATTTTCAGTGACCAAAAGGGCTTTACCCAAGTTGAAACTGAGCTCAGAGTTAAGTCTCGTGACGTCTCAAGTGATTGGTCTCAAGATTTCAAGCACCCATTTGAGCTCTCCTGCTCCACTTTCTGTTCCTTTCAATCCCATCCTTTACTATGTTGCTCGTAAAAATGGAGTGTTTTCCGGTGAACAAGATAACAATGGTAGAAGATTTGTTGATGGTAGAATATTAAATGGAGAAGAAAGAGAAAAAGAATAAAGAAGTAGGAAATAAAAAGAATAAAATAACAAAAAATATGATTTTTTTAGGCTCTTCATACGTCTATTTGATGTGAATATCACACAAGCTACCAAGTCAGCGAAAAGTGTAAAATGACACAGTCCGACCTTACTTTAGTTGTTTACAATGTACAAGGCTTACTTGAGTCTTGAGGTGTCTTTATGCCAACTTTAGGGGGCTACCAATGAGTTCCGCCTTTTTCTAGTGACTGAGAAATTCATTTTTCCAGCTTCGGAACTCGGGGATAATGGGCCACGCGCTCTACCTACTCCACTTAAATACCAAACTTGGCACAATCTTCAAACTCCTTTTTGAGATTAAACTTATTTTCATTTTGGATTGTGGCATATATCTTTTGAGATCAGTAACAATTTTTATATACCAATCTACAGGCTGTGCAGAGCCATATTTACAGAAATGAAGCTGTCAAAAAACCATCCAGTCTCTACTTACAAAGATTCTAAAATTTTAGGATAGATTCAGTGCCCATTAGTAATTTTTCATTTAAACCAAAAATGGAACAACGATAAGGAGTTCATCTTAATCTTCTGCATTGGAGTCCCTTACCTTTAAGTCATCTCAGATTTCTTCCCCCCCAAACATCGACCAAATGCAAGCTGGTATCAACTTTCATCTGCTTTTTTCTCTGTGTGACCTCCTCCCCTTTCCAGTACTTCAGCAAATCTAAAGAGCTTTTCGGCATTACCCATCTGATACCTTTTTGAGTAACAAGCAAAACACAGGTCTTCCCAGTAACATCATAGTTATTGCCCCATCACAACAGATTGCAATTGGTCTCAGTTTTCATGCCACAACAATGATATCTAGAACACAGTACCTCTTTTTTAGATTTTTTTTCAGTTAAACAGACCTCTTTGACTACTAACCACATAAACCATACCACTTTGTATGGAATTCTAACTAACCTTCGCAAGCTAATTTATTGAAAGTGTTACCTTTTCAAGTTAACTTATCAAAAATGTTACCTTCGCAAGTTAACTTATTGAAAGTGTTACCTTCGCAAGTTAACTTATCAAAAGTGTTACCTTCGCAAGTTAATCACGACATTGGTTTAGAGGTGATAAACTCTACACTGTTACTGAACATGAATAAGCTCAAAGTATTGAGTTAGATTAGAAACACTAGCTCTACATTACTTGAAACTGGAATTTAATATGTTAGCTTAGAAATGGTCTGTCAACTTGCGGACACTAACTATGCAGCTGATGTTTCTTGAAATTGGTCAGGAATGAAATGCTAGGCCATATTTTCTAGTAGTCATCCAAGAACAAGAATAAATTCATTGAGTACTGGTTGTCAGTTTGCTGTTATTTACCTTTTTAGCGTCTTGCTACACCCTATAAGTTTGTCAAAAGAATGGCATGAATGTCACATTGAAATCTTAATAGGTTTACTTTCTCACTGCCAGCCTTATTCATTTCTCTTAATTGGATATTACTGTGGCAGGTTCATGAGGATATTGAAGTCTTGGTATGTTAGTGGGGTTTTATACTGGCACTGGAGATGGGAAGCTGTAGCCGGAGTTATTGCTGGTTTCTGTACTTCCATAATGACAGTAATTCTTTTTGCACTCCTACGGAAGTTGTTTTCTTGCATCTATCAACTTTCTGTGGTGAGAAGGTTTACTCTGCCATTTAATAAAGTCCGTTTAAGGAGAGTTTGTTTCCTGCTAGCTTATGTGTCATTTACTAGTTGGTTGGCCGTTCAATATTTCAGACGGATTGGTCTCCCTGAAATAGCAGTTTACTATAGCATGTAGCACTCATTTTTGTAGAAGTGCTAGAGCGTGTTGGCAGTTCAAGTTGAAATATGAAATTGTGTAATATCTTTGTACCAGTAGACACAGTTTTCACATAGCGTTTCTACCATATGTTGTAATCTAGTTCCTTGTGTACAGAAAAAACTGCAGGAATAAATACTAGTAAAAGTTTATCCCAGAGCATTATTCTGTGCCCAGGTGAATGAAGTCTAGTATTATTCTTTCTCTGGTGCTTTTTACTTTCTACTTTGTGTTCTTGAGAAGCGACAACACTTTTCTAAGCTAGAGTATTATTTTGTTATCTAATTCAAGGGACATCCTCAAACAAGATGGAACAATAACTAGAGTATTATTTTGTTATCTAATTGATTACACTAGCCAAAATTTGGTTGCTGCCATTTGATATGTTTTTCCACTGATTCTTAGTCTGCTGATGCATTACCACACTTACTGAAGAACATTGCTATCTTATTGAGGATGAAGTTTATGTATAATAAGACAGCAAATCGTCTACAGAACTTAGAAAACAAGGAAATTAAATGTACTTATCACTTGACATTTGGATTACAAACTAAAACATGAAACTTTGAAATGAATTCAGCCTACTTTCCTGTGCTTGTAGCAACCCCATAGGACCTCTTAAAGAAACACGTCTGAAGCTGCTAAAGAGTAACAGTATCTAAAACTTTCCAGATTCTGAAATGATCCTCTCGATTTCTCCAAGAAGGCGCTCTTTTTCCTTGACCAAATCCTCATTCTGCTTCTGCAGCTCTTCAATTTGTGTAGTCTGTTCAGAATCCTTTCTGTGATTATGCAAAAACTCCGATTAGTCACTTCTTTATCATTTCATTGTTACTACAACTATATGGGAAGAGAAATCTGAAGATTGCTTCACAGAATTGATAGCCACATAGTAAGTAGTAAACAAGCTTGGAAACACAGACAAAGTTGTTGCATGTTCTTGGACTAACATTCCTCAATGTTGTGTTTGAACGTACCTGTTCATAAACGCCAGGTTAAGTTTAAGTGAACGAACTTCCTTCTCCAGATTGTCACAGCGCTTCACAAGGGATTGCATATCTGAAGGAATTGCTGGTGTTAAATTTCTCTCTTTGGCTTCTGCCATTCTGCATCAACATTGAAACCGATAATAAGCTTATGAAATGGATCATTTTCTATAGAGAAATTTTTAAGTGGCATACACATGAGGAACCACAAACAAATAACCCTTTGCTTACAGAATAAGGTTTGCCTCAACATATCAAAAACAAATCTGTACAAAACCTGAATAGGCAATGAAGTTTGGATAGAGACGCGTTTTGGACAATTTAGGTTATGAAAATTTCAAATACAAGGTTGAGTCAGGTACGAATAGTTAGTTTGAAATATAATCCTAAGCTTAGTCATACAAAGTAGATAGAACAGGAAAGACAACAAATATAGAGAACTAAGAGAAGAGAAACAAAACATCTGGGAGTTGCCCATGCAAACACGAGGCCAGCAGTTTCGAGCAGCCTAAACTCTGAGTAGGCCATGAAGTTAAAGCATCAGAAATTGCAAACTTTTTGCAAGTATATGTGATGAAAAGCATGAATCTGATGTTCACATAGTTCAGGCATTACAGAATGTCAAGGTTTAACTAGGCATCTCATGCTTTTCTAATTCTCTTTTCTGATTTCTGCTTCATATCATTGTAGGAAAATAAAGCCAATTTCTACATGCAATAGTCTTACCAACCACAGAAAAGGACTAATCACTAAGAAGGAAGGTAGTCAGAAAAAGAAAAAAGATTCATGCAAGTTTTGACGATAGTTGTACATACTTCCGAGACCGCTCCACCCTTCTCTTCTTCTTAGGATCTCCATTTTCCGCTGCATTTGTTCATACCGGTCAGAAGCGAACAGCATGAAAATAATTAAGTAACATCATGCATGTCATGTAATATAGCATCATGTGCAATTAATCCATAAAACTTATGATCTAACATAATTGCATAGGTCATAAACCTCAATATAAGAATGAAAACAGATTGCTAGCAAAGTTGGCACTAGAGCTCAATTTTTTCATTAAATAAGACAGTTTTAGTCTCATGGTAAGCATGGACATTTCACATTTACTTCGCTCTCTCTTTTGAGAACTCGTTGATCTTTAAAAATTGTCAGAAAGAATAGAACGAACATCTTATTCCTTCTATTCCCGGAACAAGAAAGAACTCTTAAGGTCAATATTTATAGATTTGATTCTTACTTTATTTTTTCCAGTTTCACTCCTTTGATTGCATGATTCATTTTGTAACCTTCCTAAAAATATGCAATCAATTTGAACTAATTTCGGTAGTATTGCAGTGCCAACATATTCCATAAGTTCTTCCGATATGCCCATTGCTTTATTGATTTTCACCCAACAATGGATCTAATCTAAACTACTTTGGAAGTTTCAAGATAGGAAGACATAGGGAGACAGAGGGAGAGAGAGAGTCTGCATTAATGCAATAGGGAGCAACAGGCATGCCACTACCATGTTTGAAAAGAACATGATCAACGTTGGTGCATTTACAAAAACAAAAAAATAAACAGATATGAAAGTGAAAAAGCAAAGATGTGGTATTAATTCATTGCAGTCAAATGTCTAAGTTACCTGATTGTACAGATGTTAAAGATCCATTTCGAACTAAACCTTCTTTCTGCGATGTACGAACACATACGAGAAATTATCATCAGCCTTAACCATCTCACTATAGTAAGTTGAACATTAGGTAATGTTGTTTCCAATTTCATGTTGGAATTAATGCATCAATGTTTAGTCTTCCGAAATTGTCTCTTAGTTTTTTAAGAAGTCTCTTTAGAATTTCGTAGTACATGTATCTAGTAAATTGTGATACATGTATTTAGTTATTTGTGAAAGACTTTTTGTTTTCTATTTTGAGTAGTACAAACAGTGATGTAGTTGATGACTGTAATCATTTCGAATGGCCTTAAGTAGCCTATAATAAACTTGAGCATTCTCTAAAGATACTATTTTCCTTCCATATTCCAAGAGCATATGAGTTAGAGAATACCTTTTGGTTGTCCTTCACGTTGTCATATATTCGTTCTCTAATATCTGCAGTTCAACAGTAAATGGCTATATTAACAAACTTGTGCGCAAAGCACAATGCTAATTGTGGAGAAACAACCATCTCAAATAAGTGCACAATGTGAAATCTAGAGTTCCAATTAGTATTGTTTAATTTCTTAGTTTGAAAAACTAAAAATCATCTCTGTTTGAAGAAAGACCTTGTTTATACGAATTTGCTAAGACGTGCAAGTTGCAAATAGAAAGCAGCATAGATAATTCAATACAGACAGCTTATTTATGTTATATTTACCTCTAGCAGTTGAACCATTTTCTGAGCTCCTTCCATATCCGACTTGATTTCTACAGCCCTCGTACATATTTAAAGCTTGACTTGCATTGCTCAGGCCATCATATGCATCAAAATCAATTGAAAGTATTGGTGCTGCAACAGAAGATCCACTTTGAGAAGGTTCCTGTGTTACCATGTCTATCTGGATTGGGTTTGAGGGAGCCATAATACTTTCTAAGACGGCATCTAATGACCCTTGAACTGTTTGTGGGATCCCCGTATCTCTGACTTGAACAACAGGTGTGTCCTGATATGTCCCTTGATTCAGAGAAATATGATTCCCTGGATGTTGATTCATGTCGGAGTTACAAAAGATTTCTTGATTACCATAACACCCCAACATATTCTCCTCAATGGCTTCCCTCGCAGTATGATAGTTTGTCAATTTCTTCCTCTCTAAGGTCCCCTTTAGCATGCTTACAACAGAAGAAATATTATCCACACCATCCACTTGCTGTGCTTCAAAAGTTGATGAAGAAGAATTTGATGGAGACATAAAAGTATTAGGTTGGTTGGTCATTTCACACATTGACATGTCAGTGTACCCAGTGGGATGAGAAACTTCTTCTTTGAAGCTATTAACAGCATTTCCAGGTATATTTTGCAAGGATTCACGAGCTAGTGAAGACTGTGAGTTTTGCATGGCTGCATACCTCCTCCTACAGAAATTTTTAGGGAAACAACCAAATATCGCAAGGAATAATCAGCATCCAGCAATAACAACATCAGTGGACTACATCTATGGGAAAAGGATTCTCCAATTAGTTTTTGGTTATTTCTTGTTCGTGGAACCCTTCAATTCAAACTAGATAAAATCAATCTATATAAGAAAACAAGAAATTCTTGAGGGTCTAACCCAAGTTTATATATATAATGCTGAGTAAAGCAACCAAGGATATTGTTTCCCAATCTCAATAAAGGATGCAATATGAAGGATACCTTAACTCAGATGAACGACTTCTCGTCATGGGCTGAGAGCTATGGAACCAGGTCTGCAAGAAATCTCTGTATGAGATATCAAAGAGAAATTCCACGAAAAGATATCAGCAATTACAGAACAAACCTTGGCTAAAAACAGATTACTAGCTTGCATTTCCCTATCTGTCGCGTTCCTGGTGACAAAAGAATACATGGTTATTACCCCCCAAAAATTTCAGAATGACTAATAAGATGATAAAAATGCTTGAAATATCGATATTGGTTGAGCAAGCTGGATAACCTACAAGGCCAACCAAAAGAGTGGCAACAAGAGAACACATTGCAATAGCCCCCCAAAGTGCAGTTCTAATCATAATTAAATCATACATGCCTAAAGTGGTAAAGGTAGCACACAAGAAAGATAAAGATCACCTGGTTGAATGTTTATTAAGGTTGCTAGATGATTCAATGGCAGTACATGTATTCTGTGGCTGTTGAGTATCGGCCATTTTTCTTTTCTGAATCCCCTCATTTTGCTGACTGGATAGACCAGCAAGTTCACTGGAGATCCTGCATTTTAAAACAAAAGGATGTCATAAATCTGATGCATCTCTCCGCTGATATAAGTTTATCGTTCCCACTTCTTGTAGCACCACGTAAAATTGAATTCAGAAATTAGAGTGAGAAGTGTATATATAAGTGACAGAAATCATAGCTACTCTGAGAAGTCGGCTTCCGTTGCATAACAGGAGGAAAACTGGAAAAGAGCTGAACCTTTCTCCTTTTGTTATACTTAATGTCCACACTATTCTCGGAGAATTGAAGTGAAACGAAGAGTTGAATTGTATCAAGAAAGGATGAATTTCTCACTTCTCAGTGAATCCTCCCTGTGGTAACTTTCTCTACTCCTAAACAAACTTTACAGTGTTCTATATATTGTAACTGTTGCATCATGCACAAATATATCTTAAGAAGAGAAAAAGACCTTTGAGTACTCTCTCAACAACAAGCGAAATGATAAAAGTGATTGTCTTATTGAACATCCAAACAAACTAACCTTCGTGATCCTTGTCGACCACGAGCCATTGGTGTAGAATCACTGCCATTATTCTGAGAAGTAAACAGTAACGAATCAGCTAAGATACAAAAGACATAAGCAGACAAATATAGAACTGATATACATGCCAAAAGTTGGATTTTGAGAATGCAACACAGTTAGATGAAAGTCAACATGTATAAGAGTGGAAAGAGTTCTTGCCTCTGCACTTGTGAGCCAGCTTTTGAAAAGTTCCTCACTGTCGGTTCGAAGAGAATGAGGGATGTTTCTAAAACCTAACATCTCCATTGTAGGAACTGGCACTCCTCCTACTGAGTTGTCCATCATAGTTCTTATGAACAATTCTTCACTTGTGTTTCTATAGAAATCTGAATAACCTCTTCCCTCCATTTCCATTCTCTTCCCTCAACTTCTCAACACGGAAGTACACTAAACTCTACTTTCTACCAAGATTTATCAACACTTCCACCATTCATCAATCCCTCAACACATATAGGTAGCTACAAGCCTGTCTATGGGTTCTTAGTTTCACCCTATATCTTTCATATAATGCAAAACTCATAAACTCAAAATACTAACTCCGCCTCTGCCTCGACATAAAAACCCCATCTAGAGAGATTCAAACTAAAAAGATAAACTTTTGATCAAAAACTATAGTTAGTACTCAAATGATACAAAAATGATCACAGTCACAAGGACAAGTTTTTTATTTTAATTACTCAAGTAGAGATATTGCATAAAAAAAAATATGAAAGACTTTACTACTAAAACATTGAAGATTAATACTAACAACTTTGTTGTTAAAAAAGAAAGAGAACTTAGTGTATAATTGAAGCATCAAACGTCACATTCAAACTCATCTTTTTGAGTCAGAAAAATTGACAAACATGTAGTGGGCTTAATTAAAAATTATTGCAACAATTAATAGAATTAACATAAATCCAAATTGATTAGATGCCAATCACCTTATACTTGTCTCTATCCCATGTGAAAACTAAATATTTTTCCTAAGCTGATTTTATCTGTCATTCAGCGAGAGTAAATTAAATAACATACTGTGAAATTAGGTCTTAGACCTAACTCACACCCCAAAAGCTAGCTCAAAAGGAGGAGGATTGTCCAAGTCTCATCTCATTAACTACCGATGTGACACCTCACGCCCAGTGCTTAGCATTTGGTGCGTGGACAATTTTGATTTTGGGAACCCCAACATCGGGTGAGATGGGCCTGCTCTGATACCATGTGAAATTAGGTCTTAGGTCTAACTCACAAGTTAGCTCAAAGGGAGGAGGATTGCCCAAGTATTATAAGGAGTCCACCCATCTCATTAACCACCGATGTGAGACTTTTGTCATTCTTTAATACATACACCGTGTAATCTCACACATGTAGGAATACTCGATAGATTGTTTCCGATAAAATTTTTGTTATATTAAAAATTGATCATTTTTGTTGTGTAATTTAATTTATTGTAACATATTAACTGCCATATTTGGGTTTAGATCAAAATTACTAGATTTTGTCGAACCTTCACCCCACTTCCTCTCCACCCTGCGCAAAATATAAGGTATGCTGGGATGGAAAGGAATTGCGAGTGGTGTAGGGCAAACAAAAAGTGATTTTATTGATTCAAATACTTATGTTGAATGATTTTATTAATATAAAACAAAATTTAATAATTTTACTTAATAAATTTTTAAATTTAAATGACATTTTGAGATATTAGCTCCTTTTATTGCATCAATGATAAATGGTTCCTAACAAAATTTACTTTTAAATCTTATAGCTCCCCTTGTTGATTATAAAGTTGTATTATGCCGCTTATTGAGTTTAAAAATTATTCACCTAATCCAACTTCTGAGGAGTATTTATAAAATTTTATGATATGAAATAAAATAATTATAGTTGAATAAACAAATGTTTTGCCACTTGTTAACTTTCATCAGCAACTCATAATGAAAACGACATTAAGTATACTTTAAATTAATTCTTTCAGTAACCTCATGATTAAGACATACTAAAAAAATATAATCTTAATCATTAACTCATTATAATATCTTTATGGAAAATTTACTTTGACGTTACAAATATTTAGACTGTATTTTCAAAAATTACAAAATATAGTTATATTTGGATTTTGTAGCTAATATTAAATACATGTATAAACTAATACCATATGTATTGATATAGCTTTTTCGTTTAATTCCAGATGATACAATATGTATCGAACCCAATATTGCTCGAATACAATAATATTCCGCAATTACGCTCTAAATTGAGGATATTTATAAAATTTTATCTATTTTTATCGGTGTAAGAATAGATATTTAAGACCTTAGAATACTAATTTGTTTTTTAAGAAAGAATTAAGTAATAAATAAAAGATGTTTGACTGAAGTTTGTTAATTTTCCTCTGATTATTCACTTGGAGGATAGCTCCAAGAATGCACTTTTGCGTATATATATTTATTTATTTAGACTCCAAAAATATTATGTATGACTACTCGATTTATTTATTTTTATTGATTATATAATGTTGCACAACGTCATCATATAAAACTGCTCTAAATATTCTCACAGCAAGAAGAATATGCCTAGTGCATTGATAAATTATAATTCTTTTATTTTTAATGGAGAAAAAAAAAAGGTATCTATCTGTGAGTCTTAATATTTTGAGTTAAAGTTTAATTTAATTTACATTTAAAGACTAATTAACCGGCAAAATAGAATTGTTTAGTGATCTTATGGAGTATCTTTTGGAAGGCCGGCAAACTATTATTGGGGGAGTGTAGGGGTGACCCTTTCAACAGTTGCATCGAAATGTGACCGCGTAATTAAAATTCAAAATTCTTTTTATCTTTAATTAAAGATCTCAAATTCGAACCGTTGATGTATCAGACTCACTAGTGCAAAGTTAATATGATTGAGTCAAACCAATCGAGCCAATAGATTTCAATAGCCAAGAAAACTATTATAAATAGTTCTGTGTCAACTAAAAGATGTCTTTGTTTGTATGTACTAATAAACTTGACACAAAATTAGGAAACAGAGAGCATAGTTTGACCATGTACAAGGTATTAACTTCATTCACACTTGGTCTCATTTTTTCTAAGCATCATTTGATCAACACAGGAAGCGTGTTGACTGAGTAGTTATTTGTAGACAAAGTTATCTCGAAATTATAATTCTGGAACTAATTTATCCCACCTCTCATACGGGATATTGAAATATTAAGTCTGAAGTATAAATTTAATCTTGAAATATCCCACGTTGTCTCACGAACCAAACGACCCACACTCCAATGTCTTAAGTTATGGACAGATGAAAACAGTGTCATATTTTAGGCAAGAAACTGTGAAATATATGGTTGAAATTAATAGTATTGAACCATCCACCATCACCAAGCATCCACTCTCAATGAAAATAACAAAAGGGAGAAAAGAGGAATTATAGAAATCTAGGAAACAAACTAGTTACTAAGTAGAAAATAAAGGGTAGACAAAATGTCAATAATGGCTTTAATATCAAATTCATTGCAATTCATTCTCCAAAATCTCCCTTGAATGAATGGTCTGCGTTGTAACTCCTAGAAAATTCTACAACAAACAATGGCGATGAGGACAACGCTGCATGTTAGGTATGCGATATTTCTGAGCCAAGAGCCATCCCTACCTGATAAAAGACATGCATCAGCTAACAGCAGCAGCAGTTTTAAGTAATTAAGCAAATCATAAATCACATTTGTGTCATAAAGCAAACTCATTCAACAAATAAGCATAATGCTAATTAAAAGAATGGACACACTTGTTTTGATTAATAGAAACTCCAGTCCCACAATTGATCCCCAGCCCCCATTTACTTCCCAAATCCCATTAATGTACACTTACTCATGTTCAGATAAGGAAATCGAGAATAGAACAAGCAGAGATCAGCTGTTACAGGATTGAGTAAGCAGAAGAACAGCAACGCCTCAACTTTGTGGTCGACCATATGAATCCTCCCAGAGTCCCAGACCATGTTTCTCCATTTATCTCAGACCAACATTATACAAAATTAAAATTAAAAACTTTATATTTTTCTTCTAGCATAAAAATCTGCAATAGGGCTAAAAGCACTTCTAGAAAGCATATGACCTAAAGTAAATGTCCTAATTGACAAACATATTTCGGACATGTTTGTATCACCTATATAGATCTTTTGTTTCCGTTGTGCTATATATTTGCATGGATTCCATGAGATTGTAGGTCTTTTCAGAGCACTTCCCTTCTATGACTAACATCAATCCTTTTTCTTTTTCTTTTTTATTGTTCTATCCCTTTTTTGACTTTTTTCAATTCCATTTCTGTTTTTGGTCTTCCACAGAGGACCATTTCACAGAAACGACTGCTTCTAAATTAAAAGTTCAAAGCATACTGTAAAACAACATCTACTTGACCCTTGCCAGAGTCCAAGATTAACTTCTTTCTCAAACAACAGATTCATAACAAACTATCTGCCAGAATTACCGAGGCATGGGATGTTTATTTACATTTTTGTACAACTTTTTGAACAATTCATTAGGGGGTTCATCTAATAGACATGTAACACATACTGTCTGTATTAAAATTCAACTCAACCATAAACTTGAAGAAGAAAATTTTGCCCTTTTTTAAACATGTAACTGAATATCTGCAAAAGGCCTACATCTTTGATACTCCTTTTTTCTGATAGGTAGATCTTGATATTCCTTAGTAATGCCTAGCTACATATACGGAAAGTAAGCTCTCCAACTTATAAGTATCACCATGAGTTTAGATGCATAGAAAGACTAACCCCGTGTTTTTCCTCCGAAATAAATTTAATCCAATGTCAACCAAAGAACAAACAGCTGTCAAACTTTTGCTACAAACTTTACATGTTGATATTTCTTCTAAGTTGCTCGGACTCTACAAAAATGTCGCCACACCCGTGTCAGATCCTTTAAAAGTACACTATTTTTGCAGGATCTGACAAGCGCTCGTCGGCATTGTTGAAGAATCTGAGCAACATAGATTTCTTTACCATCTAGTTCAAATCTAGTACTTGGTAAGTGTTGATGCAACAATTACCTTCTTTCTGATAATGACTTAATTTTGGTGTTTGTAAAATATCCCTTTTTAAAAGAATAAATAAATTGTAATCTACTGTTCATTGAAAAAATACAATATTGTAGAGTAGAATAGATCATTGCATAGAGTTTGTAGCATTGGCTCTTCTTTGTTCTTATTTTATTTTATTTGCTAATTCTAATATTCATACAAATACTACTACGCCTCAATTCCAAGCAAGTTGGGGTTGGATATATGAACCCTCACTGACGATATAACTCTATTTAAGCTCATTAAAACCCATATGACTGATTCTAGCATTCATAACAT